TCAATCCATTCTCTGCTCAGCCTGTATTTATGCTTGGTGTTGCCCCAACCCATATGCAGGACCTTGCACTTGGCCTTGTTGAACTTCATGAGGTTTTCACAGGCTCTCCTCTCAAGCCTGTCAAGGTCCCTCTGGATGGCATCCATTCCCTCCAGCATGCCACCCACACCACACAGCTTGGTGTATTTGGCAAACTTGCTGAGGGTGCACTCGATCCCACTGTCCATGTTGCCGACAAAGATGTTAAACAACACCAGTCCCAAGACCAAGCCCTGAGGAACACCATTCATCACCAGTCTCCACTTGGACACTGAGCCATTGACCACACCTCTTTGAGTGCAACCACCCAGCCAGTTCCTTATCCACTGAGTGGTCCCCCTGTCAAACCCTCGTCTCTCCAATTTAGAGACAACGGTGTCACACAGGACAGTGTCAAATGCTTCGCACAAGTCCAGGTAGATCATGTCAGTTGCTCTTCCCTTATCCACGAATACTGTAACCCCATCGTAGAAGGCCACCAAATCTGTGAGGCACAATTTGCCCTTAATGAAGCCATGTTGGCTGTCACCAGTCACCGCCTTCTTTTCCATGTGCCACTAACAAGAACTTTCATCTAGTTATCCTACCAATGAGCTCATAAGTCATAAAGTGAACCTTTACCTGTTGAGATTCAGGGTTCAGAGGTACCAGCTGCAAATCTGTACAGTCAGCAGAATTTTTTAGGCTGGTATCTGAAAGCTGGAAACAGAGTTCTGACAAATTCTGTACGCAGACTTGCACATATTTCCTGAAAAACATGGCACAGTTTGTTCAATGAAAGTTGAATAGTTACACTGAAGGTATACATGTCCATAAAATTGTTTTCAAAGTGCCTAGCTCAAGTGAAAACGGAGTGGCAGGTATATTTGTTTCTCTCAATCTTTTCCTCAATACTTTTGAGTCTGTAGGAACAAGGCTGTAAAACATCCTCTTTCATATTAAATGGAAACAAATAACTAATAGAAATAGGCTAGCTTGGTTTATCTTGTGGTCTGATTTCCAAAATAGCTGAAACCACAAATTTGTTTTACCGTTATGAAAGAACACTAGAGGAAATGCAGAAGCTTCCAATGGGAAGCTGTGTAAGATAATAAAAGCTTACAACTTAAAAAAAAAAAGGCTGCTATAAATATTCCTTATGAAACTCCAGGTCCATATTTTCTAAGAAGACAAACAATAAATACTTAATGAGTACATTACCGTTTGCCAGCTGACAATAAGGAATGCTTGGCATTAAAAGGTATGCAGAATGATAATGCGATAATAGTGGAGTAAATTGACCAAGGACAATCAATGGTTACCTAAAGGAAAAAGGAAATAAAGTTCTTATTCTTTGTAATGGTAATGGTCTTTGGCACAATGATTGTGCTTTTCTTCTCAATTCTAAGCAAAACTTCTCTCAGGAAGTGTCTACACCTAATGCATCAGAAGAGGAAGAAAAAAACATTTTAAGCCCTCCTATGTCAAAAAACCATGCTGACAAAATATTAGGTTTTTGTTTTCCTGTGAGCAGGATATGAAATCTTGAGGAAGTTTTTCCTGTGGAAACTGATATACCCAGTTCTGAAGACTAGAAATAAAGGAAGAGGAATAGAAGAAAAAAAGATAAAAGGACACTGACAATACCAATAGCTTCTTAACACAATAATCTGGTAAAAGCTCATTATCAAATAAATTGCTACAAGATCTATTACTGAAATGTCTTTTTAATAATTTAATATATCAAATACAAGCTCAAAATATTTAAAAATATTTAATGTATATTTGTTTTAACTTGAAGCGGCAGACTTAGCTGAAGAATTTCTTCTGAAGTGAATGCTGCCATTCTTCCAATTGTAAAGCATATATAACAACATATTTTTATATGCAGAGAAAAAATAAAAATATTTTGTCATATCACATTTTAGCAATGCGGGTCTATACCTATTCCTTTCTACCCTAGTCTTCCCACACAAGGACACATGGCAGCATACTTGGTCAATTTTAACAAGGAGTAACACTGTGAAAGGTGATGGTTTCAAGACATTTTGCTGTCAGCTGAA